CTTCATGGAAACCACTAGTAAAGGACACCAATAATAAGAAGAGAATTGCTTGGGCCAAGAAACACGAGTAATGGACATTAGACAAGTGGAAATCTGTCCTTTGGTCTGATGAGTCCAAATTTGAGATTTTTGGTTCCAACCACCACGTGAGATGCAGAGTAGATGAACGGATGATCTCTTCATGTGTAGTTCCCACCGTAAAGCATGGAGGAGGAGATGTGATGGTGTGGGGGTGCTTTGCTGGTGACACTGTATGTGATTTATTTAGAATTCAAGGCACACTAAACCAGCACGGCTACCACAGCATTCTGCAGCGATACGCCATCCCATCTGGTTTGCGCTTAGTGGGACTATCATGTTTTTTTCAACAGGACAGTTGCCCAACACACCTCCAGGCTGTGAAAGGGCTATTTTACCAAGAAGGAGAGTAATGGAGTGCTGCATCAGATGACCTGGCCTCCACAATCCCCCGACCTCAACCCAATTGAGATGGCTTGAGTCAGACGGCAGAGTGAAAGAAAAGCATCCAACAAGTGCTCAGCATATGTGGGAACTCCTTCAAGATAGTTAGAAAAGCATTCCAGGTGAAGCTGGTTGAGAGAATCCCAAGAGTGTGCAAAGCTGTCATCAAGGCAAAGGGTGGCTGTTTGAAGAATAGCCTTGTATGCTTGCTTGTGGGTAGAATAACAGTGGCCTAGGACTTTATCGTCCCTAGTGGCGTTGGAGACGTGTTGATGGAAGTTGGGCGTCGTGTGTCTTAGTGACGCTGAATTAAAATCGCTGGCAACCAGAAAAGCAGACTCTGGATGTAGGTTTTCTTGCTTGTTTATAGCGTTGTACAGTTCGTTAAGTGTCGGCTTCTTATTTTTCTTGTCTTGAGGTATAACGTCACGATAACAGCTGAAAACTCCCTCGGGAGGTAGAAGGTTCGGCATTTGACAATCGGGTATTCCAAGACGGGTGAACAGTGGGTCTGCATTTCCACCACGCTGGAGTTAGCACACCAGTAGATGTAGAGGCTAACATTTTCCCCAAAACCACTGTCCTGTCCGCCCGGTGAATGGAGAATCCATCGAGTTAGATAGCCATCGGGGGTATCTTGTCCGAGAACCATGTTTCAGAAAAGCAAAGAATATTGCAGTTCCGAGAGTCCTGTTGGTAGCATATCTGCGATCGAAGGTCATCCATCTTATCAAGTGACCGTATATTGGCTAGTAGAATTGAGGGAAGAGGTGGCCGGTTTTCCCTTCGCCTCAATATCACCAGGATCCCCCCCCCCCCCCCCTGCCTCTGTAACGCTGGCGACTCCTCTTGGGTAGGAAATTGGGTCGGAATTACAGAGAGAGCCCAGGGAAGATGAGTCGAAGTTGTTGCCGGAATTGGGGTAAAGAGTTGCCGATCTGATGTTCAAAAGTAATTGTTGGTTGTAAGAAATAGTAGCGGATACATTTCGTGAAAATAAAGTACAAATAAACAACAATTATCACAAAATAGCAAAGTTGGGTCAGAGCTTACAAAATGGTGGCCATCCAGTACAATGCCATTGTCCCAGCGCCATTGTCTAGGTTAACCCTAAGGGAAATTACTTATGGAATTATCTTCTTAAATGTCAGTTATAAGTACTTAGCACTGCTAATTAGGTTTTGTTAGAACATATAACAAGGTGAGAGTGGAGGTGGCAAATACTGCTTAAAACCAGTGGTGGAAAAAGTACTCAATTGTCATAGAAAATGACTCAAGTAAATGTGAAAGTCACCCAGTAAAATATTAAATGGAGTAAAAGTCTATAAGTATTTGTTTTTAAATATACTTAAGTATCAAAAGTAAATGTAATTGCTAAAATATACTTAAGTATCAAAAGTAAAAGTATAAATCATTTAAAATTCCTTATATTAAGCAAACCAGACGGCACATGTATTTTCTTTTTTTTACTTTTTTTTTTTACAGATAGCCAGGGGCACACACCAACACTCAGACATAATTTACAAACAAAGCATTTGTGTTTACTGAGTCCGCCAGATCATAGGTAGTAGGGATGAACAGGGATGTTCTCTTGATAAGTGCGTGAATTGGACCATTTTCCTGTCAAAATGTAACGAGTACTTTTGGGTGTCATGGAAAATGTATGGAGTAAAAAGTACAATATTTTATTTAGGAATGTAGTGAAGTAAAAGTCAACGTTGACAATAATATCAATAGGAAAGTAAAGTAGAGATACCCCAAAAACTACTTAAGTAGTACTTTAAAGTATTTTTACTTAAGTACTTTACACCACTGCTTAAAAAAATGTATTAAACTGAAGGAGCTTTATATCACTTACATTTTAGTCATTTAGCAGAAACTCTCATACAGAGAAATGTACAGTGGTGAGTCATTTAGCAGATGCTCTCATTCAGAGAAATGTACAGTGGTGAGTCATTTAGCAGAAACTCTCATACAGAGAAATGTACAGTGGTGAGTCATTTAGCAGACGCTCTTATACAGAGAAACGTACAGTTCGTGCATCCATCTTAAGATGGCTAGGTGAGACAACCACATATCAGTCACAGCAGCCTAAGTACATTTTTCCTTAAAGTAGCAACTATCAGCAAAGTCAGTGCTAGTAAGAAAAGACGAGTTCAAGGTGCAAAGAAAATTAAGAAAAAATATTATTATTTCTTTATTAAGAAAAAGTGCTGTGGGATTTAATCAAGATACCCTATCAAGTCTAAGTGCAACGAAAAAGCCAGAAAACATTGCAGAAATTAATGATTTGTCCAGCAAAGCACAACCGTAGCACTTTTTTCAAGCCTTACGATTCTAACGGTCTTCTGTCCATCCCATTTGGTCTGTAGTTTAAGCATACATAGTGATGTACATCCACTGAAAAAGGAATAAAAAACAGCAGTGAGATTTGACTAACACATTCATTAGTCATATAAATAGAAACAATGAAATTACATCTTAACACATTGCTAAGGTTTTTACTGCATCTCAGACTGTGTATTACAGGTTCTTACACCACATGACCAAAAGTATGTGGACGCCTGCTCATCGAACATCTCATTCCAAAATCATGGGCATTAATATGGAGTTGCCCCCCCCCTCACCCCCACCCATGCTGCTATAACAGCCTCCATTCTTCTGGGAAGGCTTTCCCCTAGATGTTGGAACATTGCTGCGGGGACTTGCTTCCATACAGCCACAAGAGCATTAGTGAGGTCGGGCACTGATGCTGGCCGTTTAGGCCTGGCTCGCAGTCGGCGTTCCAATTCATCCCAAAGGTGTTCGATGAGGGTTGAGGTCAGGGCTCTGTGCAGGCCAGTCAAGACCTCGCTTTTTTCACGGGGGCATTGTCATGCTGAAACAGGAAAGGGCCTTCCCAAACTGTTGCCACAAAGTTGGAAGCACATTATCGTCTAGAATGTAATTGTATGCTGTAGCGTTAAGGTTTCCCTTCATTGGAACTAAGGGGCCTAGCCCGAACCATGAAAAACAGCCCCAGACCATTATTCCTCCTCCACCAAACTTTACAGTTGCCACTATGCATTGGGGCAGGAAGCGTTCTACTGGCATCCGCCGAACTCTGATTCGACCGTCGGACTTGCTAGATGCAATGCATTGCTTGCTTCCTGTTCTTAAAAGTTAATTTGTGGAATTTATTTATTTCTTAATGCGTTTGAGCCAATCAGTTGTGTTGTTACAAGGTGGGGGGGGGGGGGGGGGGGGTATACAGAAGATAGCCCTATTTAGTAAAAGACCAAGTCAATATTATGGCAAGAACAGCTCAAATAAGCAATGAGAAACAACAGTCCATCATTACTTGAAGACATTAAGGTCAGTCAATCCGGAACATTTCAATAACTTTGAACGTTTCTTCAAGTGCAGTCGCAAAAACCATAAAGTGCTATGATTAAACTGGCTATCATGAGGACCGCCACAAGAAAGGAAGACACAGAGTAACCTCTGCTGCAGAGGATAAGTTCATTAGAGTTACCAGCCTCAGAAATTGCAGCCCAAATAAATGCTTCACAGAGTTCAAGTAACATCTGTTTCTTAGTGAGATGCAGATTAGGTGAACCGATGATCTCCACATGTGTGGTTCCCACTGTGAAGCATGGAGGAGGAGCTGTATGATGTGGGGGTGCTTTGCTGGTGACACTGTCTATGATTTATTTACAATTCAAGGCACAGTTAACCAGCATGGCTACCACTGCATTCTGCAGCGATTCACCATGCCATTTGGTTTGCGCTTAGTGGGACTATAATTTGTTTTACAACAGTACAATGACCCAACACACCTCCAGGCTGTGTAAGGGCTATTTAACCAAGAAGGAGAGTGATGGAGTGCTGCATCAGATGACCTGGCCTCCAAAATCACCCGACCTCAACCCAATTGAGATGGTTTGGGATGAGTTGGACAGCAGAGTGAAGGAAAAAGCAGCATATGTGCTCAGCATATGTGGGAACTCCTTCAAGACTGTTGGAAAAGCATTCCAGGTGAAGCTGGTTGAGAGAATGCCAAGAGTGTGCAAAGGGTGGCTACTTTGAAGAATCTAAAATCTAAAATATATTTTAATTTGTTTAACACTTTTTTGGTTACTACATGTTTTGATGTCTTCACTATTATTCTAGAATGTAGAAAATAGTAAAAAATAAAGAAAAACACTTGAATGAGTAGGCGTGTCCAAACTTTTGACTGGTACTGTAAATATAGTGTATCTCTCAGATAAGATTATGCTGCCTGCACACACTTGACCTTTAGTAAAGGCAAATGTTTATGTTGTTTACAATCATTGGAAGGTTTGCTGCGATTTAGACCAATCGAAGCAAGGCTTTAGGGCTTTAGGCTTTTGTTCCAGCCCAGCACAGCCCACACCTGACGCAAATGCTCAGCCAATCATGGTCTTCAGTCTGGACCATGATTAACTGAATCAGGTGTGTTACTGCAAGGCAAGGCTAGAGCGAAAGCCTGCACACCTAGGACTGCAGGAACAGAGTTGAAAATCCTTGGTGTATTATTAACAGTTCATTACCTCATTGTCTCGAAGAGATATGGTCCCTCCATCGTTGAGTTGTCTGAATATTTCTGTTGAACGGGGCATGAATGACACTATTTGGAATTTAGGTGAACAGTACAAAGGCCTCAAACCATCATCGAGCAAACTAGCTATCATCAGCCTGTGAGTGCCATGAAAGCCATTCAAAAAGGCGAAATATGTGTTGTCTTTTCAACTATTTCTCTAACTGTAAACTGTAAATGCTCATTAAAATGCGACAGATGGAAAATGAAAAATCCCAGTGAAATAAAATTGGTCCCCTTTAATTTTAGTTGTGGACTTACTGGCCATGCGGTCCATGCGTAGGACGAGGCTGATGAAACTCTCCAGGCTGATGTTTCCGGAAGATCCACCGTAGCGCAGAGCAATGAGGTTCAGCAGATTATCACTCAGCCTGATCCCTGTGGAAGACAGACATGCCTCACACCTTTATTCCACAGTTATTTCACAGGTATTAAGATGGAGGCCCTGAGGAGGGAGCGTGTCTTGACGGTTCCTGCTCAACTTTGCTTTTTTATGGCTATTCTTGCATTAATTATACATGTTTTGGGCTCAGAATGTTTGTGCAATAATCTCCTAGGACTGAGAAACACTTCTGGATCATGAATCCGAAGCTACACACTTTTATCTCTCAGCCTCCCAGATCTGAAATATTCTATTCGCTCCTTTGTTCCCCGCACATGGGCTTATCGGTTGCTTGCGGCGAACAAGGAAGAGGGGGACTCAAAGCTAGGCTAAAAAGATGGGCTACACGACCTCCTCTTCCTAGTACAGTTGAAGTCGGAAGTTTACAAACACTTAGGTTGTCATTAAAACTCGTTTTTCAACCACTCCACAAATTTCTTGTAAACAAACTATAGTTTTAGCAAGTTCTACATTGTGCATGACACAAGTAATCTTTCCAACAATTGTTTACAGACAGATTATTTCACTTATAATTCACTGTATCACAATTCCAGTGGGTCAGAAGTTTAAATACAATAAGTTGACTGTCCTTTTAAACAGCTTGGAAAATTCCAGAAAATGATGTCATGGCTTTAGAAGCTTCTGATAGGCTAATTGACATCATTTGAGTCAATTGGAGGTGTACCTGTGGATGTATTTCAAGGCCTACCTTCAAACTCAGTGCCTCTTTGCTTGACATCATGGTAAAATCAAAAGAAATCAGCCAAGACCTCAAGAAATTGTAGACCTCCCCAAGTCTGGTTCATCCTTGGGAGCAATTTCCAAACAAGGAGACGCGTTCTGTCTCCTAGAGATGAACGTACTTTGGTGCGAAAAGTGCAAATCAATCCCAGAACAACAGCAAAGGACCTTGTGAAGATGCTGGAGGAAACAGGTACAAAAGTATCTATATCCACAGTAAAATGAGTCCTATATCAACATAACCTGAAAGGCCGCTCAGCAAGGAAGAAGCCACTGCTCCAAAACCGCCATAAAAAAGCCAGACTACGGTTTGCAACTGCACATGGGGACAAAGATCGTACTTTTTGGAGAAATGTCCTCTGGTCTGATGAAACAAAAGTAGAACTGTTTGGCCATAATGACTGTCGTTATGTTTGGAGGAAAAAGGGTGCTGCTTGCAAGCCGAAGAACACCATCCCAACCATGAAGCACGGGGGTGACAGCATCATGCTGTGGGGGTGCTTTGCTGCAGGAGGGACTGGTGCACTTCACAAAATAGATGGCATCATGAGGAAGGAAAATTATGTGGATATGTTGAAGCAACATCTCAAGACATCAGTCAGGAAGTTAAAGCTTGGTCGCAAATGGGTCTTCCAAATGGACAATGACCCCAAGCAAATTGCTTAAGGACAACAAAGTCAAGGTATTGGAGTGGCCATCACAAAGCCCTGACCTCAATCCTATAGAACATTTGTGGGCAGAACTGAAAAAGTGTGTGCGAGCAAGGAGACCTACAAGCCTGACTCAGTTACACCAGCTCTGTCAGGAGGAATGGGCCAACATTCACCCAACTTATTGTGGGAAGCTTGTGGAAGGCTACCTGAAACGTTTGACCCAAGTTAAACAATTTAAAGGCAATGCTACCAAATACTAATTGAGTGTATGTAAACTTCTGACCCACTGGGAATGTGATGAAAGAAATAAAAGCTGAAATAAATCATTACTATTATTCTGACATTTCACATTCTTAAAATTAAGTGGTGATCCTAACTGACCTAAGACAGGGAATTTTTACTAGGACTAAATGTCAGGATTTGTGAAAAACTGAGTTTAAATGTATTTGGCTAAGGTGTATGTAAACGTCCAACTTCAACTGTATCTTAAAGGGGCACACACATGGAGGTTTTTCTGAGTGAGTTTTAAGTAAACACATGATTTATTTTGAAAATAACTGTACTGAAGACTTACTGTACAACTTCGGATACAACATTTATGAAATGTTTTGACTGTTGTTAATGATTAGTCTACTATAGAATGAAACACTTCTTTGAAGGATTTGAATGACCTCAGATCTCTGTTCTGACTTTCTGGTGAGGCCTGATCACCCTCACTAGAGACTCTAAATCATTGAGTGAGATTTAATGTAATATGTAAACACTGATAATTATGAAGGAGGTTATAGTTCATAGCCTTGACAAGGACAGAGAAAGAGCGCTAGCCTTGAATGAGGGAAATTTGTCAATTTTACTATTTACTTGAATTACCTTATGGGATACAATTAAGTTAAGATATTATCAAAGGTTGTCATTCTAATTTATTATCTAATTTATTATTTTGGTTTAACAGGCAATGTTGTGACCGCATGAATCACGATGTGAGTCGTGTCCAAAGGGGGGAATTACTGGTCCCCTGGGGCCTTTTGGTAAATACGAAAATTGTATTAAGAATATCAGCAGTAGTAATTAATGTGTTATGGGTTAGATGGAATGTGTTATGTGCAAATATATTTGTGGCCAGAGACAAAGTACAAAGGGGACCTGTCTCTGAAACTAGTGGACTGCAACAAGCTGCAAGAATGTGCACTTCAAAATTGCAAGGCTTCTCCTGACTGATGAGAAGACATGGTAAAGTAGCATACTGTGTCTCACCTAACAATGTTCTTAAGACTTTCTTCCCACGGGTGAAGGCTTCTTTGCCCAACCGAGCAGGAGAATCTGAGCATTGTCTGCACCCTGGAGACTTTGTGGCGGTAAAAGACTACAGAAGAAAGAGCTGGAAAGACCCTAGGTGGAGAGGCCCATACCAGGTATTGCTGGCTACCTCAATGACGGTGAAAGTGGCAGAGACAGATACTTAGATCCATGTGTCCCACTGTAGGAGAGTTCCAACCCCAGAAGAGGAACATGGCCCCGCCATTGGGTAGCATGGTTTTCTTTTGTGTCTGTCTGTGTCTGTGTGTCTTTGCAGTAGTGATTACGAGCTTCCCTATTGATACGCTGCCAGAAGGACACTCTCCGCAAACTGATGTCGATGGATTGAGAGGGACTCTGCCTGATCCGGAGACCCTAGTGACGGAAGAAGGTCCCGAGCCAAAGAGACCATACGTCATCACCCAGGCTGCACCGATGGCTGTACGGATAGAGGGGAGCTCGACCTGGTATCATCTAAACCACTGCACCAGAGTACCACGAGGAAACCGACGACCTAGAGATGAGGGAGCTGAGGATGCTGGAGCTGACAAGGATCAGGAAATGGGGGAGGATGGCAATGGGAATGCTACTGATGAGCTACGTGCGCTGGCTGATTCCCTCGAGGGAGGCACAGGAGGGACAGACCTCCAAGAACATTCAAGAATTTCAACATCTTCCAGACCTTCAAGAATCACCTGACTTCCCCACCATTGATTTATCTGTCTTTGTCTAGTTCCCCTGACAGAAATTGAGATCTAACTTGCTGATCCTGTGACTCTGCGGTGGAGTCGACAGCGTGATAAGGGGAGTATATTAGAAATTGGTATTAAGAATAATTGGTAAAATAATTTGTCATATAGTCAATGCTTATATGGAATTTTTGGGATTGGAAATGAACTCAACTAAACTGTTATGATCTGTCCTCTCTCGAGGTTACTACAGATGGTGTCTTCATGCATAACAGGGATCATTCGGTCAAGAACGGTGTGAACCTCAATAAATAAATAAAAACCTCTAACCGGCTGAAGAGGAGCAACAAAGGCGTTGAATAGGGTCCTGTCCAGCACCACTTCTACCAAGAGACCTGAATCAGAACCAGCATCCAATCAAAGCTATCAACTGCCTTTTCTCTCATGAAGACAGATCTGCTCAAATACAACATATCTCATGATGCTGGTATACTGGTTGGCAAATGGACAAAACATAATGGGGGTAGAGGTGGTGGCGGCTCAGGTGAGACATTGAAATTGGGACATTGTCATGGCCAATCCAAGTTGAACTATGAAGCTATCTGAAGAACATAATGAAGAGACGCCAGAAGATTGAGTGCCGGGGAAGGAAGGGTTTCTTATTTGGGGTATCAGGTTGATTAAGGAGGCCTACACACTGCTACATTTATAGTAATTTAGACTAAGAATGCATTGAGATACTGATCTGTAGTTATTCTCCTTATGAGGAAGCTTATACTAGAATTATGGATAATTATACTGTATGTTAATAACTAAAGATGTTGACACTGCAGTTAATGTACTAGATATTGATATTGATTATTTTCATTGTTATACTACGTGTGACATGGGTAAAGAAATTATGTGAGCTAAAGATGTTGACACTATTCTCAGCATGCCCTGGTATTGCTTATACAATCATAAGATAATTTCCTTAAATAGATGTTATGGTTTAAACAACGCTACATTAGTTTTAATGTGTTAGGATACACTTACATGGTTTATTTCAATTAGAAACTTTAGAATCTTACTGTTTGAAAAATATGATCTTAATGCAAGGATTGTGCCTTATATCATGAACATGTTGATTTTTATGTCACAGTATTCATATATTAGTCACTATATACATGTGAAGTATTTTGATGTATCTATTAAGTCCCAGAGGAGGGATTGATGTGGTTTTTTCCAGTTAAGCATAGTAAGCATTGTTAATTACATCATGACAAGCTAACAATGTATGGTTAAATAGTTAATCACAACATGACAAGAAGAGGCCTGAAACAGAGCAAGGAAATAGCTCAGGGAATTGTCAAACAGAGCCAGGAAATAGCTCTGTTAGATTTTAACCATATATGATATGATTTTTCAGTGGACTATGGGATAGACATGGTTAATCAACAAACACAGAGCCAGGGTTAAATATTGATACATCTCTGTTTCTAGGCAAGAACGTAATTGGTTTCTCTCACTGGGTTCATGTGTTTGTTCTCTGGTCATCTGACCTGTCTTCGGTTGTCTTATCTTATCAGTGACTGAAACCAGGCTGAACGGTTTGTCTCTCCTTGAGCGTCTTCCTGATTCAATTATAGCGTGACGGGCTGGGACAGAGGGGTTTGGCTTGGGTATGTTTGAGAGATTGATTGTGGGCCTGCCATGTTGTCCACAATCAATCTCCAGGTCAAGCCAGATTGAGCCAGGGTTTAACAAAGTTCAAACTGAACATTATTATTTTTATATGACAGGGCTGTTATTTGTGCATGACAAAGCTTGATTGGTCACACCACCAACAGTGGTGGGGGAACCCAAGAGGGAGGGGTTTTAAGCTAAAATGTATGTAAATAGGACTATATAAACTAAGAGCTGAGAGGTAGAAGGGAGATGTTTTGCAAACCACCTCGGCTCTATTACGTATGTGATAAAGTCTATCTTAATTCTACAAAAACTCTGAAATACTTTGGTTCTTTGATTAGTATAAGGACGAATTTGCCACAACATTCAACAAGATGGCTTTTCCATTTTCTGTATGGATCGAGTGGCGGCTTCTGTTAAGAGTAGGGGGGAGGGGTATGTTTCCTCATCAACAATTCCTGGTGTACCGAAGTTGAAAAGATCTCGAGCTCATGTTCATCCAATCTGGAGTTTCTGATGTTAAAATACCGCCCCCACTATATGCCGAGGGAATTCACGTGTGTTATCAAAGCTGTGTACATACTGCCACACACTGCCACACGCAAACACCAAGTCGGCACTCAGCGAACTATACAAGATCATTACCCAGCAAAGTCCTCTCCCCCGGAAGCAGTATTTATTGTCGCAGATGATTTTAACCAAGCACGTTTAAAACACATTTTTCCCCAAAAAATCACCAAAATGTGTCCTGCCCCACAAGAACAAATGCTGTAGAACTGTTTCGAGAATACTGACTGGAATATGTTCAAAGATTCATCCACCAAGGTCTCATTCATCAACATTGGGGAATATACATTGTCAGTCATTAGGAAATGTGTTGATGATGTTGTAGCCACAATAACAATCCGGACATACCCCAACCAAAAACCCTGGATGAACGGAGATATCCGTACCATGCTGAGATCCCGTACTGCAGTATTCAATGTCAGCAGAACAAACCCTGATGACTCGATGGCGCGCGGCGAGTACAAGGCAAGCAGGTACGAGCTCTGCAAATCCATTAGGGGAAAAAAAAAAGACAATAAGACTCAAATTTGAATTGAACTTGACTCGCGACCAATTTGGCAAGGATCACAGAACTACAAAGGCAAATCCAGCTGTGCGGTGCCCACCAAAGCCTCCCTCCCAGACGAGCTTAACACATGATATGCTCGCTTCGAGGCAGACGATACCGAGCCATCCAGGAAGGCTCTGGCTGCTCCGGACAACCAGGGTCTTTCTCTCACCAAGACTGACGTGAGGAAAACTCTCAAAAGAGTGAATACTCAACAAAGCCTCCGGCCCAGAAGGCATCCCTGCCGCGTCCTCAGACTGTGTGCTGACCAGCTGGCGGGCATCCTCTCGGACATCTTCAACCTGTCCCTGTCCCAGGCTCTAGTCCCCACCTACTTTTAGGAGACCACCATCGTCCCAGTGCCCAAGAAAAACAAGGTACACAATGACTATCACCCCGTCGCTCTCACCCTGGTCATAAAGAAGTGATTCGAGATGCTGGTCATGACCCACATCAAGGCCATCATGCCAGGCACACTGGACCCACTCCAATCTGCCTACCGCTCCAGCAGATCCACGGAAGATTCCATGTCCATCGCTATTCACACGGCCGTAACACATCTGGACAAGAGGAACACCTATGTGAGAATGCTGTTCATAGACTGTAGTTCAGCATTCAACACTATTGTTACCTCCAAACTCGACACCAAGCTCAGAGCCCTGGGTCTGGACAACACCCAATGCAACTGGATCCTGGACTTCCTGATGGGCAGACCACAGGCTGTGAGGATTGGAAACAACACCTCCTCCACACTGACTCTCCCTGTTCACCCACGACTGTGTGGGTTGGCACGACACCAACTCCGTCATGAAGTTTGCTGACGACATCACGGTTGTAGGCCGGATAACCAACAACAACGAGTCAGCCTATAGGGAGGAGGTAAGTGAACTGGCATTGTGGTGCCAGGTCAACAACCTCTCCCTCAATGTCAGAAAAACAAAGGAGTTGATTGTTGACTTCAGGAATCAAACGAGGGAACATGCCCCGATCCACATCAACGGGACTGCAGTAGAGAGAGTCAGCAGTTTTAAGTTCCTCGTCGTCTACATCACCGAGGACTTGACATGGACCAACAACACCACCACTCTTGTCAAGAGGTCGCAACAGCGTCTCTACTTCAAAGGCTGCTGAAGAAATTTGGAATGACTCCTTGGCTTCTCTCCAAATTCCACCGCTGCACAACTGACAGTGTCGTGACCGGTTGCATCGTGGCCTGGTGCGGGAATTGCTCCGTCCATGACTGCAAGGCCCTCCAGCGGGTGGTGACGGCCCAGTACATCACTGGGACCGTGCTTCCACCCCATCTAGGACATCTACATGAAACGGTGCCTGAGGAAGGCCCGCAGCATCATCAAGGACCCAACACACCGCAGCCACGAGCCGTTCTCTCCCTTACAGTCCGTTAGATGGTATCGGAGCATGAGGTCTGATACCAACAGGCTCAGAGACAGTTTCTATGTACAAGCCATCAGACTGCTGAACACTCCAACTGGACTGACCACCTGCTCTGATTCTCCTCACCTTAACACCAGACTCTCTTATTATGATTGCTATATACTGCACAATTTAAACACTTGCCCCCAATTCCTCCTTCCCCAAACCACATGTAAATATTGGACTATAAATTGTGCCTTCCTGTATTATACTGATGCTTAAATGTTTATTCTATTCTACTGAGCCATTTACTTTATGTTCCTAGTTTTATATATTTTTATTATTTCTTATTGTTGTTGCATTGAGGAGAAGGAACCTGCAAGTAAGCATCTCGTTAGACGGTGTTACCATGTGTATCCCATACATCTGACTAATAAAACAGACTGCTGTTTAGTTGTAATTGCAGAGGTTACTCTAATCCCATCTGCTCATCCTAATTTGACAATCCTAACTCTTCAATCGTGCATTGATGTCAGTGGGAGAGTGCTAGTTAGGTGATCATATTTTAGGCCCTGTAAGCAGGTACGGTTATCTAAGGTCAGTGGCAGGCCATGTTTGTTGGTCTAGGCAAAAGTTACCTGTAGCCATGATTGAGTTCCTCAGTTGACTCAATGACAACATTCCAGAACGGTCCACATCTGAACGGAAGAAGATATCCTGGAAGATGTAAGAATATTTTCAGGTAATTTATATTCTTGAAAAATTCGAACTAGTAATGAGTTCTTTAATATCCTTTTACCACACTTGCAAATGAATTTACCTTGTACATGGTAACTTTTCTCCACAGACACATAAATTCAGCACAGTTCAGTTTTCCAGTGATTGATGTCTGGAGAAGGAAAGGTTAAGGAAATCTATAAAGGCAGAATATAAAAAGTCTGTACATGAGCCATCCTCCCCTCCGTAGCCTCCATTGATTTGGTAGATATGTTGATCAATGAGATTTAAACCTATTTTCAACCACTCAAAAAGACAGCCAACAAATTTGTTAAATTCCCAATGTGTTATCACTATGCTTTCAACCATCTAAAAGCAAAAACCAAATTCTAATGGAAAAGCAATGTCAGATTTTTGTTTTTTTAAACAAAAACGTAATGTGTTATCACTGTGCTTCATCTAATAGCACAACCAAATGACATGGATTACAGTTAGTTAAGATTTCATTAAAGTTACATGGTGCAAGTGATCAATGCCATTTGAGATTCTCTGCAGATTATTATGGCAATTGTGAATATTTCCACAGAACTGCTACCTGAACATTGATTACATAAAAAGTTGGTTGACAAAATATCAACATTTAAAGGAGATGTGTCTTCTGCTTGGGCAGTTCCAGCTGAGCCCCTGGCTTCATTCATCCTATTGTTTAACTTTTCTTTTTGGTTGAGATAGAAACGTGAATCCAATATATAATTTGTTAACCTGTTGGCAATTTACCATATTGCAAAAGTCATATTGAATTGTGAACCAAATAACTTTTGAAGGAGCTGTATCTTCTGCTTGGATAGTTCCATCTACACCACTGAATCTGGCTTTAATTCCAGTTTCTCTACAAATTAATAATTGATACGTTGGGCATCTCCATTAAAACCAGAAATCTAAGTCAAAGAATAGGACTAAATCTAATCAAACTTTAAATGCACTTTAAATACAGTTTGATTTGATTTAATTATATTCTTTTATTTTTGATCTAGATGGAGACGTGAATCAAACATATTTATTATTAACTTGTAGATTCCATTTGAAATCAACCGAACCTTGAAACTTTAGGCCTAAAAGTATTGTCTATTTTCTGTTGAATCCTGGGATGAATTTAAACAATGGCTGTTGACTTCCCAAATACTACATAGGCCTAAATAGCATCATTGATGATATATGATTGATAAAGAATGGTTACATTTTATTTGCTCTGTTGAACCTACCATTTGTAATGACTTCAATAGCAACATTACACCAGTAAGTGGAGTTTTCTCAACTATCATTCTCACAACAGCACATTGGTAATAATCAGTGGCAAATATCAAGCAACTCAGCCACCAGAGTCACGGTCTGTTCACCTCACTACCATCCAGAAGGCTGAGACAGTACAGGTGAATCAAAGCTGAGACAGAGAGACTGAAAAACAGCTTCTATCTCAAGGCCATCAGACTGTTAAATAGTCACCACTAGCCAGCACTCTACCCTGCACCTTAGAGACTGCTGCCCTATGTACATAGTCATTGAACACTTTAACAATGTTAACATACTGTTTATACCTACTTCATACAGTTGAAGTCGGAAGTTTACATACACCTTAGCCAAATACATTTAAACTCAGTTTTTCACAATTCCTGACATTTAATCCTAATAACAATTCCCTGTTTTAGGTCAGTTAGGATCACCACTTTATTTTCAGTATGTGAAATGTTAGAATATTAGTAGAGAGAATTATTTATTTAAGCTTTTATTTCTTTCATCACATTCCCAGTGGGTCAGAAGTTCACATACACTCAATTAGTATTTGGTAGCATTGCCTTTAAATTGTTTAACTTGGGTCAAACGTTTCGGGTAGCCTTCCACAAGCTTCCCACAATAAGTTGGGTGAATTTTGGCCCATTCCTCCTGACAGAGCTGGTGTAACTGAGTCAGGTTTGCAGGCCTCCTTGCTCGCACACGCTTTTTCAGTTCTGCCCACACATTTTCTATAGGATTGAGGTAAGGGCTTTGTGATGGCACTCCAATACCTTGACTTTGTTGTCCTTAAGCAATTTTGCCACAACTTTGGAAGTATGCTTAGGGTCATTGTCCATTTGGAAGACCCATTTGCGACCAAGCTTTAACTTCCTGACTGATGTCTTGAGATGTTGCTTCAATACATCCACATAATTTTCTTTCCTCATGATGCCATCTATTTTGTGAAATGCACCAGTCCCTCCTGCAGCAAAGCACCCCCACAGCATGATGCTGCCACCCCCGTGCTTCACGGTTGGGATGATGTTCTTTGGCTTGCAAGCCATCCTCCTTTTTCCTCCAAACATAACAATGGTCATTATGGCCAAACAGTTCTATTTTTGTTTCATCACACCAGAGGACATTTCTCCAAAAAGTACAATCTTTGTCCCCATGTGCAATTGCAAACCGTAGACTGGCTTTTCTATGGCGGTTTTGGAGCAGTGGCTTCTTCCTTGCTGAGCGGCCTTTCAGGTTATGTCGATATAGGACTCGTTTTACTGTGGATATAGATACTTTTGTACCTGTTTCCTCCAGTATCTTCACAAGGTCCTTTGCTGTTGTTCTGGGATTGATTTGCACTTTTCGCACCAAAGTACGTTCATCTCTAGGAGACAGATCGTGTCTCCTTCCTGAGCGGTATGACGGCTGTGTGGTCCCATGGTGTTTTTACTTGCGTACTATTGTTTGTACAGATGAACGTGGTACCTTCAGGCGTTTGGAAATTGCTCCCAAGGATGAACCAGACTTGTGGAAGTCTACAATTTTTTTTCTTAGGTCTTGGCTGATTTCTTTTGATTTTCCCATGATGTCAAGCAAAGAGGCACTGAGTTTGAAGGTAGGCCTTGAAATACATCCACAGGTACACCTCCAATTGACTCAAATTATGTCAATTAGCCTATCGGAAGCTTCTAAAGCCATTACATCATTTTCCAAGCTGTTTAAAGGCACAGTCAACTTAGTGTATGTAAACTTCTGACCCACTGGAATTGTGATACAGTGAATTATAAGTGAAATAATCTGTCTGTAAACAATTGTTGGAACAATTACTTGTGTCATGCACAATATAGATGTCCTAACCGACTTGCCACAACTATAGTTTGTTAACAAGAAATTTGTGGAGTGGTTGAAAAACTAGTTTTAATGACTCCAACCTAAGTATGTAAACTTCCGATTTCAACTGTATATAGCCTCGTTATTTTATTGTGTTACTTTCTTTTTTACTTTAGTTTATTTAGTAAATATTTTCTTAACTCTTATTTTTCTTAAAACTGCATTGTTGGTTAAGGGCTTGTAAGTAAGCATTTCACGGAAAGGTCTACACCTGCTGTATTCTAGTCAAGGCTCTTCCTATATAACTATTGCTGTACACACCTTTTCTATTCATATACTGTCCATAATGTCTATACACTCCATCATATACATTCAGTTCCTTGCAAAAGTATTCATACCCTTTGGCGTTTTTCCTATTTTGTTACATTACAACCTGAAATTTAAATAGATTTTGATTTTGATTTCATGTAATGGACATACACAAAGTAGTCCAAATTGATGAAGTGAAATAAAAAATATAACTTGTTAAAAAAAATGCTCAAAATAAATAACGGAAAAGTGGTGAGTGCATACGTATTCACCCCCTTTGCTATAAACCTCTAAATAAGATCTGGTGCAACCAATTACCTTCAGAAGTCACATACTTAGTTAAATAAAGTCCACCTGTGTGCAATCTACGTGTCACATGATCTCAGTATATATACACCTGTTCTGAAAGGCCCCAGAGTCTGAAACACCACTAAGCAAGGTGCACCACCAAGCAAGCAGCACCATGAAGACCAAGGAGCTCTCCAAACAGGTCAAGGACAAAGTTTTGGAGAAGTACAGACCAGGGTTGTGTTATACAAAAATATCTGAAACTTTGAACATCCCACGGAGCACCATTAAATCCATTATAAAAAAATTGAATGAATATGGCACCACAACAAACCTGCCAAGAGAGGGCTACCCACCAAAACTCACGGACCAGGCAAGGAGGGCATTAATCAGAGAGGCAACAAAGAGACCAAGATAACACTGAAGGAGCTGCAAAGCTCCACAGCGGAGATTGGAGTATCTGTCCATAGGACCCACTTTAAGCCGTATACTCCACAGAGCTGGGCTTTATGGAAGAGTGGCCAGAAAAAAGCCATTGCTTAAAGAAAAAAATAAGCAAACACGTTTGGTGTTCCTCAAAAGGCATGTGGGAGACTCCCCCAAACATATGGAGAAAAGCCCTACAAATTGCTTAACAGACTTTTCTAAAAATAAGCCTAACCCACTATTGGTCTGTCCTCTATTTAAAGTCTGGATCCCAGAGATTGGAAAGCTGCCGCGGTCATCCCCCTCTTCAAAGGGGGTGACACTCTAGATCCAAACTGCTACAGACCTATATCCATCCTGCCCTGCCTTTCGAAAGTATTCGAAAGCCAAGTTAACAAACAGATCATCGACCATTTCGAATACCACCGTACCTTCTCCGCTATGCAATCCGGTTTCCGAGCTGGTCACGGGTGCACTTCAGCCACGCTCAAGGTCCTAAACGATATTATAACCGCGATTGATAATAGACAGTACTGTGCAGCCGTCTTCATCGACCTGGCCAAGGCTTTCGACTCTGTCAACCACCGCATTCTTATTGGCAGACTAAATAGCCTTGGTTTCTCAAATGACTGCCTCGCCTGGTTCACCAACTACTTCTCAGATAGAGTTCAGTGTGTCAAATCGGAGGGCCTGTTGTCTGGACCTATGGCAGTCTCTATGGGGGTGCCACAGGGTTCAATTCTTGGGCCGACACTTTTCTCTGTGTATATCAATGATGTCGCTCTTGCTGCTGGTGACTCTCAGATTCACCTCTACGCAGACGACACCATTTTGTATACATCTGGCCCTTCATTGGACACTGTGTTAACAAACCTCCAAACGAGCTTCAATGCCATACAACAATCCTTCAGTAGCCTCCAACTGCTCTTAAACACTAGTAAAACTAAATGCATGCTTTTCAATCGAACGCTGCTGGCACCCGCCCACCCGACTAGAATCACCACTCTCGACGGGTCTGACCTAGAGTATGTGGACAACTACAAATAC